ATGGGGGGCAGCCGCATGGATCATGGAGGTACGAGCGACCTCCATGACTAAGCCAATGCGGCGCTCAGCAACCCCATTCTGCTGCGGAGAGGCCGGAAGCGTGAAAGTCTGGCGGATGCCGTGCTCCGCACAGAAGGCTGCCAAGAGGTCTGAGGAGAACTCACCACCTCTGTCAGAGTGCAGACGTAGGACAGGAAAGTCCGACTGGAACCGCTCGCGGAGCTGGAGACGAGTAGCGCGGATCCAGGGGATCAAAACATTAGGGACATCCCCCTTGCGCTGCAAGGGGAAGACCGTGGTGTAGCGCGTGTAGTCGTCGACAACCAGCAGGAAGTACCGCTCGTGGCCCTGTCCATGGACGCGGGCTGGGCCCCACACGTCCAGGTGGAGAGTCTGCAGTGGAGCCTCTGTGGGAGGGAACGAGGAGGAGTGAGGAGCGGCGCGCTGCCGCCCCTCGACGCAGGGAATGCAGGGCGGCGCAGGCGAGGGAGGGAGGGGAGGCAGAGACCTGGGAAATCCAGAAACCAGGAAGCGGGAGTGCATGCTGCGTAGGCGAGGCAGGGAGGGGTGACCAAGGCGGTGGTGCCACAGGAGAGTGTCGTGCGACAGCCGGCGACACTCACACTGTGTAGCTACCTGAGCAGACGCGTGCAACTGGGGAGACAAAGGGGCGGAGCGTGACGCAGTGGTGAGGGTGTACAGACTGGACCCTGACGCACGAGCGAACGTGGCCAGGTGGCGACCAGTCTGGGAGCACGTGCAAATCGCCACACGCTGCCGGCCAGGGGTGAAGGTGTCAACCCCCGCATCCTGGAGGACAGCGTTACTCACCAAGTTCGTAGAGAACGAGGGGAGGTGGAGACCAGACAGCTTACCAGACGGGACCGCCGGACACGGAAGCACAGTGGAAGACCGTGCAAGCACTGGGCCCCCAGAGGGGTCAGCCAGTGAGACAGGAACAGGTGCAGGGAGGGGAGTGACTGTGGTACTGTCGCGAAAGAAACAGCGGGAAGCACCAGAGTCAAGTTTAAAGGTGTGCAAAGCCTGTGCAGGCGCAGTACCAAGGGGAGCAGACTCACAAGCACCTAGTGCTGCAGGGGCTATACCAGGATCCAGCGGCACACACAAGTAGCAGTCACCCTCAGCACTAACAGACAAGGCATACATAGCAGCAAGAATTGCCTCATAGTCAAGATCAAAGATAGGTACATCACGCCTAAGAAAGTCTGCCCAGTTGGGGAACTCAGGAGCATCAGGAAACTTGGCGCGCCAGGCGTCGCTAAGCCGAGCGAAGCAGCGCTGCTCAGTGTGAAAACTTGTGCACTGGCGACCAGCGCGGGGACCTGTGCGGATGATATAGGGGCAGCGACCAGGACCCCCAGAAGCCCCACGCCCGGCATACCAGTCAAGAAGCTGCTGGGAAGTGGGGGTCTAGCGCTGACGCTGATGCTGCTGCTGCTGCTGCTGCTGGCCCTGACCACCAAAGCCACTACCGCTCCCTCCTCCCCCACCGCCGCTGCTGCCCCCTCCACCGCTCCCAGTGCCTCCGCCGCCCCCACCACCACCTCCACCGCCTCCACCCCCACGACCACCCCCACCACCTCCACCTCCCCCGCCGCCTGCACCACTGCCACCTCCACCGCCACCTCCACCGCCCCTGCCACCCCTGCCGCCCCTGCCGCTGCGACGCTTCCCACTAGGAGCGGAAGCAGCTCCGACCCCCTCAGCACCAAGGTAGTCGTGAGCAGCAGCTGCGGAGGCGTAGGAGGGGGTGAGAGGGGAGGGGGAGCACCCCTCAAAGAGGGGAAAGCGAGGAGTGCCACGAGCAGCACCTACAGCGAGGATGTTCTTCTCTGCTGCGAGGAGGTGCTTCTCGAAGTCGTCGACAGTGAGAGTGGTGGGGTCTAGTGCTAGGAAGTGGTCCGTGACAGAGCTAAGAGTGTCAGGGAGGCGGGTGACGAGGAAATAGAGAGTGAAGTACATCGGGGGGGGGGTTTGCGGCGCAGAACTCGGCTGAAAGGGCGGCACGAAAGCGAGAGTCAGTAGCGCGCAGGTGAGAAACTAGGTCCTCAGCAGTGGTGAACGAGGAAAGATCGGGGAACAGGTACGGTAGCATGAGTCGACCTATGGCTGCAGTGGCCGGGGAGGAGTAGCGCGCAACTACAGCGTCGTACAGTGTCTTAGCAGTTCTGTGCTGGCTGAAATGCGCTCGCTCAGTAATCGGCAGGTGGTTCCTAATAGCTAAGCGTGCAGCAGCATCACGAGTCTGCCACTGGGAGCGATCTAGAGCAGGAGCATCAGCGGCAGGAGTAACGGCAGTGCCAGAGACGTAATCAAATAGGGAAACTCCCTCTTTGGCATCAGTCAGAAGGAACAGCTGGAGATCGTCTAACCACACAGTGAACTCGATGGGACGACCGTCAGGCTCGAACGCTAGAACGTTAGGCGTCGCCATATTGGTTTAAGACAGGAGGCAGCAGGCAGCAGGCAGCAGGCAGAGGCAGCAGGCACCATGTAGGAGGCAGGAGGCAGAGGCAGGAGGCAGAGGCAGGAGGCAGGGGCAGCAAGCAGCAAGCAGGCGGGAGCAGGCAGCAGGCAGGCGGCAGGCAGGCGGCAGCAGGCAGCAAGCAGGCAGGCGGCAGCAGGCAGCAAGCAGCAGGCAGGTAGCATGCAGGCAGCAGGCAGGCTGCAGGCAGGCGGCAGCAGGCAGCAAGCAGGCAGGCGGCAGGCAGGCGGCAGCAGGCAGCAAGCAGGCAGGCGGCAGCAGGCAGCAAGCAGCAGGCAGGCAGCAGGCAGGCAGCAGGCAGGCTGCAGGCAGGCGGCAGCAGGCAGCAAGCAGGCAGGCGGCAGCAGGCAGCAAGCAGGTAGGCAGGCAGCAAGCAGCAGGCAGGCTGCAGGCAGGCAGCAGGCAGGCGGCAGGCAGGCGGCAGCAGGCAGCAAGCAGCAGGCAGGCAGCAGGCAGGCAGCAGGCAGGCTGCAGGCAGGCAGCAGCAGGCAGCAAGCAGGTAGGCAGGCAGGTGGCAGGCAGGCGGCAGCAGGCAGCAAGCAGGCAGGCGGCAGCAGGCAGCAAGCAGCAGGCAGCAAGCAGCAGGCAGGCAGCAGGCAGGCAGCAGGCAGGCGGCAGGCAGGCGGCAGCAGGCAGCAAGCAGTAGGCAGGCAGCAGGCAGGCAGCAGGCAGGCTGCAGGCAGGCGGCAGCAGGCAGCAAGCAGCAGGCAGGCAGCAGGCAGGCAGCAGGCAGGCTGCAGGCAGGCAGGAGCAGGCAGCAAGCAGGTAGGCAGGCAGGTGGCAGGCAGGCGGCAGCAGGCAGCAAGCAGGCAGGCGGCAGCAGGCAGCAAGCAGCAGGCAGGCAGCAGGCAGCAGGCAGGAGCGGCCTGAGGGCTGCGTGAGGCTGCTGGCTGCGTGTGGCGGCTTGCTGCACGAGGCTGCAGGCTGCGCGTGGCTACGGGCAGCGCGCGCGGCCGCAGGCTGCGTGCGGCGACGAGCTGCGCGGGCTGCGGGCTGCTTGCAGCTGCGGGCTGTGCGTGGCGACAGGCAGCGTGCGCAGCTGCAATTTGCGTGAGGCTGCGGGCTGCGCTGGGCGACGGGCCGCACGTGCGCGGCTGCGGGCTGGTCGCGAAGCTACGGGCTACGCTGGGCGACGGGCCGCGCTGGCGTGGCCTAACTAGGTTGCGCGCGGGCGGCCTAAGGGGCACACAGGCGGGGCCAAAACGGGCTACGCGGGCTGCTGAAGCTGCGCACGTGGGAAAAAAAAGGACCGCCCGAGGCGCGCGCGAGCAGCCGAGGCGCGCGTAGGCAGGCAGGCGTGGCGGGCCCTAATCCTAGGTCCTAAGGACCTATGCTCTATACCATGTCATAATTGTAGGCTAAAGTGATCGACTATCGAGGGAGTTGGTACAAAGAAATGAACCTAAGGGGTTGTACCCCACAGTGTGTACCCCACTAAGCCTACCCAAACTATAACATAGATATACATATGTTTGACACACCTACCTGCTGACCGACTTGGGAGAGCGGCCTCGTTCTCCTCCAGTTCTGTACGTAGACAACAAGGCCATGATTGTCTTGTCTCAGGAGCACAGACTGGAGCACAGGACGAAGCACATTGCTCTGCGTTACTTCCTTGTTCGATAGTTGCAGCAGCGTGGTCAGCTTCGTCTTGCTTACGTGGCCACTCGGGCCAACAGTGCTGATATATTCACAAAGGCACTTCCGCCTGGTGATCATCAGCGCTTCTTTACTGTTTTAGGCCTTGTGCCTACTTTGCCTCACTCACTTCGTGACTTTGCTTGAACTGTGATCTATATGTATACCTGCATGCTTACACTTGCTAGGTTATGATCACTGTACTGTTTGTTCTCTTTTATATAACTGTGCATGTGAACTGGCCTTGTGGCCATTTGCTTGTGCTCGGAATGTGTGGTGACTTGGTGATCCACCCCGAGCTTGTTTTGCTTTTCTTGACTGGACTTGTGACCACTTGTTCTCCCCCACTTTGCCTATGGGGGTGTGCCAAAACGCTATAATGCTTATATTGTGTAGGCAGTAGTGAGGTAGCCCATAAGGGGTACAACCCAATTAGGGTTAGTACTTGTACCAACTTTCTGCTCAATGCATTCATTCTCGTTCAGTTTCTTGACAGAAATATGAGACCCGGGTTTTAACTAATAGATGATACAATGACATAAAGTGAACCAAACATAGTAACAGCAGAATGCAGATGCTTTAACCATGAATGAAAAACCAAATTGCATTCCTCGCTGGCATGTACCTGGCAAACTATACAGCAACCCAGTATTCAAATGCATGTACTGCTCTTGGGCCGATTGAAAAGTACACAAGCCACCTTGCCTTGCTCCAAGTACCAGTATATGCAGCAGGGCCTCAACAAATCACCTGTTTCGGCTGCATCTGCAGCGGTGTGTCATGGTGTGGCCCACTTTGGCAGCATCTGCTGCGTCGTGTAATGGATGGCCTGTTTGGCAGCATCTGCACCGTTGCGTCATAGGGTGGCCTCTTTTGGCCGCATCTGCAGTGTTGCCAGAAGTGTGGTCGCCAGGGCCTCACACATCTCAGCAGCACTCGCCTCATGCACACACGGCAACCCAGCTTCCGCCTCCCCACTTCCCCCTCCCCCACTCCCCCTTCCCCCGCTCCCCCCGCCCCCACTCCCCGTTCCGCCACTTCCCCCTCCTCCCCCTCCCCCTCCCCCCACTCCGCTGGTGGGGGGGAACACCATGAAGGCATGGTCTAGTTTTCGTCTGCTCCGCACCACCACTGACCCCGGCACCTCTGCATCTGCCCTCGTTACCAGCCCGTCACTTGCTGCTCCGTACCTGGGACGCGTACGAGGAGGTGGAGACGGTGGAAAAGGGTTAGTTAGCGGTGGAGAAGGGTGAAGGGGAGCAAACAGCAGTGAGTTATTTGTCTGCTCCGCATCACCACTGACCCCAGCACCTCTGCATCTGCCCTCGTTATCAGCCCATCGCTTGCTGCTCCATACATAAGAAGAGAGAGATGGAGAGCGGTGGAGGGGGTGGAGGGGGGTGGAGGGGGGTGCAGAGGGGTGGAGAGGGGTGAAGATGGGTGGAGGGGAACAGGAGTGACGAAGAGCGAGCCAAGGCACAAGCCAAACAACCCACACCTCCTCACCATCCAAACCTACCTGTATTCCAGATGGACGGCCATGATCGCGAGCCCGGCCGACAGCGGGAATCCAACGGCCAGCTTTGCATTCTGCTGTGCCAGCCACGGCACTTCAGTATGCGCCACAGTCGACAGGGACGCCACCACCGCTGCCGCCTTACTCGCCTCCGTATGAAAGGACAGTATCGGAATTTCCCCCACAGGAAACGGGTGCTTCGCGAGAAACGCCCGTCTTTTCGCGTGGGTCAAATCGTCCAAACACCCGATATCCCCGCCGAAAATCTTATCCATGAGAACCCCGAGGATCGTGCGAGATGCCACGTCACCCCACTGGCCTTCCCGGAGCAAATCAGACGCCACAGGGCTGCCCCCGTAGGGGCTCTGGATGAAAACGAGACCCGCGACTTTGTCAAGCAGGAGGGGTTGGTAGAGAGAGAGCGCTGCTGCTGCATCCATGGCGCCCTTGCTGTGGCCCAGAATGAGCACCTTCTTTTTTGTGGCCCAAAAGAGCTCCTCGATATAGTCACGGATGGCTATAGCGTTGGCCTCTATGGGGGCCTGGGGGGCACAAGGGGAGGGGGGGGAAGGGGAGGATGGAAGGAGGAGTGGAGAAAGAAGGATGGGCATTTGTGGCCAAGAATAGACCTTCAATATAATCACGGATGGCTATGGCGTCGGCTTCTATGGGGCGTGTGGGGCACAAGAGGGAAACCGGCGGGAGAAGGGACGAAAGGGGGGGAGGGGGAGGGAGGAAAGGGGAGGGGGGGGGGATGGGGTAAGGAGGATCAAGACCTGTGGCTCAGAAAAGCACTTCGATATAGTCACGGGTGATGATGATGATGGCGGTGGCTTCTAAGGGGGCCTGTGGGGCACAACGGGGGAGGGGGAGACAAGAAGGGAGGGACGGAGGACCAGATCTTGAGGACAAGGGGATCTCTTTGATATAGGCACGGATGCTGATGGCGGTGGCTTCTATGGAGGCCTGAGGGGAGAAACCGTGAGAGGGGAGGTTTGGGGGAGAGGGGCGGGAAGAGTGGGGGAGGGGGAGGGGGGAGGGGGAGGGGGGAGGGGGAGGGGGAGGGGAAGGGGAGGCATGGAATGAGGGAGTGACACCCACCTGACGTCCACCTAGCTGTGGATCTTGGCTATGTGACAGACGAGGCCGATGGAGTGACTCTTGAGACGTATCAAAACCTGGCTGACAACAACCAGAGACACACTGATGCCCACCTGCCACTCAACCAATGCCCACCTGACTGTGGATCTTGGCAATGTGGCAGACGAGGCCGATGGAGGAAAAATGTCTCTTGGTGTCAAACAGGTAGAGCGGGCTGAGATTGCTGAATAACCCTGGAATTAAAAGGTAGACCAGGTTGTCGGGCAGAGCGTGGATGCCGCTCCTGCCCAAAAAGAAAAAGAAAAAAGAAAAAACAGCCTGTATGGATACAATGGCTGCAATGCCACTCAAATAACGCAACGCAGAGTTGGCTCATAGTGATAGGTGATGTACAAACTTCTTACAATGCCACTCAAACAACTCACATGACACACTCCAGAATCGCCTCGTAATTGTCAGTGACATCCGTCACAGGAGGGAGCTCAGGGTCCTTTTTCAGCCACCCTATGTCGTCAGAGGAGCCTTTCAAAAGAGCCTCCACGCCTCCCACAAGCCTGGCCGCACAGAAGAAGGTATTTCAGGGGGCAGAGGGAAAGCATTAGGCGCACAGCAAGCAGGGAGGGCAGGGTCCTTTTTCAGCCACCCTATGTCGTCAGATGAGCCCTTTAAAAGAGCCTCCACGCCTCCCACAAGCCTGGCCGCACAGAAGAAGGTATTTCAGGGGGCAGAGGGAAAGCATTAGGCGCACAGCAAGCAGGGAGGGCAGGGTCCTTTTTCAGCCGCCCTATGTCGTCAGATGAGCCCTTTAAAAGAGCCTCCACGCCCCCCACAAGCCTGGCAGCAAAAGACATGAACGGGCACGAGGGAGCATCAGTTAAAGCAGGGAGGGAAGGTTCCTGTTGCAGTACCTCACAGTAACCGACAGCACCTTACAGCACCACACAGTACCTTTGCCAGGACATTGAGAGGAGAGGTACAGGGCCCAAGGCCTGCTGCTGCTGCTGCTTCCTCTCTTTCTCCTCCTTCTGCCGCAGCCACCCTTCCTTTGCCATCTGGACCAAATCCCCTTCCGAGTAAAAATGTGACTCTATCGAGTGTGATTCTACTAGATGTGATTCTACTAGATGTGATTCTGTCGTATCTGATTCTATTTCCACTGGTGCGACCGAACCTCTTTCTCTTTCCCGATCCTGGTTGTCAGGTCTGGGGGAAGATGGGTTGCTTGCTGACGTGGCCTGGAAGGAACTACGATAGATGTGTGACTCAGGACACGTGTGCTGATGACGTGGAGGGTGTTCTGAGTTGTTGCTGACGTCAACATGATGAATTGTATCGGTTCTGCCAAAACTGGGAGAGCTGAGGCTGTGGGAAAGCTTCTGATCGGGCAGGAGGGAGGAGGGTTGTGGATGGGGGATCGGAGAGAGAGGGATGGGGAGGAAGCGGAGATGGAAAAAGGGTACGGGAAGGGAAGGGGTTGCTGGTGTGGGAAGTGGGAGAATCGCCTGGAAAAGGTTAGAAAGCAGCCACAGGAACACCACACTAACGCAGAAACCAACATTGAGAAAAAGAGGCCCACATTAGCTGTTGAATTCAAGGCTAACATACCAGCTCAACTCCTTGTCGGCCTGACAGGCTTGGCCCCATCACAGAACTTGTTTGCTGCTTGTCTGCAACACTGCTCGTGCCACCAGCGCTGCCCAATGCTGCTGCTGCTGCTGCTGCTGCTGCACTCATCTCCTCTGCAGCACTTGTCTCCTTCTCCTCAACAGCAGCATCGATCAAGCAACCAGCGCTGCCCAATGCTGCTGCCCCATTCTCCCCGTTCCCCGCGCTTGTCTGCTTGCCTTCAACACTGCTCGTGCAACCTAGGCTTCCCAATGCTGCTGCAACTGCCGCCGCCGCCGCCGCTGCCGCCGCCGCTGCTGCTGTTGCTGCTGCTGCTGCTGCTGCTGCTGCTGCTGCTGCTGCTGCTGCTGCACTCATTTCATCGTCAATACTTGCTTCCAATACTTCTGCGCTTCCTGCTGCCCGTTCACCTGCCCGCGCTTCTGACTCTTCCTCCCCAGACCCGGCTTTGATTGACGTAATCATAGGCGAATCTCCCCATTCTCCCACATTCCCGCTCTCCCCCAATCCTTCCCCCCCAGTGCCCACCTCCACTCCTCCCCTTCCGCCCTCCCCCTCTCCGCTCCCCTCTGCACCACCCTCGATCTCATCAAGCCTCTCCCACCCTCCCGCTCTCCTGTCCGTCAATTCAATCCCTCCTGCCGGACGACAACTCGACTCTGCTGCTGCCGTTACGTCAGCGGAACCTTCTCGCGAAGCTTCCTCAACAGTAACTTTTGCAACAATTTCATTCGCTAGAGTCACAGCGCTTAAGTCACTTGCTGCAGGGGTTTCCCCAGTCTCGCTATTAGCATCTCCGCTCCCTTTGCCGATGGACAGGAGGCTAAACGGTAATTCTTTGATGATGCTCCACGACATGACGCAAACCAGTAACGGAACTGGTTAAAACGAAAGTACTTATCATAAACAGAGGATTTAGAGCCTGATATCTAAGGAGTTCTGAGAGAACAACGCGTGAGCACGAAATGAGCAACCGCTATTAGACCTGGTAACGTTTGTAACTCGACGAATAAGCCGCCACCCGTCCGCCTGAACGACAGCGGACCCTGTGACATTCGCCAGCAGCGACCGGAGCAAGAGCGCGTTACTAGCGAAACGAAGCTACAGTGGCGGAACGGGAAAAGAGATTCGCGGAGTATTGTGCGCACAGGTTAACGGCGCCACACGGGGAAAACGGGGAAAGATTCGCGGAGGCGATTGCGTAGCGAGATGTCGACGCGCGGAGCGACGCGAAAGTGACTCAGCTGCAAAAGCGGTCCGCCGGAGGGACGAGCTGCCACGTAGTGCTTGCTCTTGTGAGCACGTGCTGATCTGGCGTCGACCAGTACGGATGCGAAGAAAAGCTGGGGACAGGCTGACTGATGGAAGTATTTCAAAGAATAGCACTTCCATTTCGTACGCTCATAGACTATCTCGATGTGGATACTGTCTGCTCCGCAACTCCCCATTTCTTGTTGCTATAAATGAAATGGAAATGTTTGGCTTTCTCTCCAATGTCGAACATGCCGCCCGTGACAGCCCGACACGCGTCACCTTCGGAGGTTTGCGCTCACGCGCAAACAAACCATGCACATGCGATGCGAATCGCACCCAAATGTGCGACGCGAGAACTTCACCCATCCAACCAAATTCCGCCCCCCCAATTTTGCCCCTTCTTTGCCACTTCCCACCCCACTTTGTCTGATTTTTCCCCAAAACAGTGCCCATGCCAGTTTGCCTTCCATTGCACCGCACGCCCCTCTCCTACTCCTCCCTCCCTCCTCGTTCGTCTCGCACGAGACCAGCAGCATTGGCGTTAAATTTCGTCGCACCAATACCAGCAGATCTTGCGCACGTAGATCTACCAACAACCGGAGTTAACTAGGCGACTGACAGTCTTACCTGCTGACGCCGCTTCTGTCCATATCACCGTACTAGTCCTGGTCTTAGCACTTCGTTCCTTACCTGCTGCCCAGCAAAATGTCCACGTGTCCTGATTGGATGGATCCGTCCGTGGATGACCGGAACAGGAAGCTCATGCGCCCTCCACCTGCGATGCATGGTGAGTAAAATGGAAAGAAACTCAGGAATTTGATTAGGAATAAAATCTCCTCAACAAGTGCCATGTAAAGCCCCTGCTAGGGCGGAAATTGTTTTCCTTCTAATTATTTTCATCCTCCGCGCTTTGTGCAGATGAAAGCGTAATGGAGGTGGCAAATCAGGAGGAGGAGCACTCATCCATGGATTCTTTATCAGCTTCTCAAGACGTGAAGCACTATGGTGATACAGCCGCTGCAGAGCGCTTACATCTAGGGCTGCCTTCAAATCCCAGTGGTGGACACACAGTCTTCACCACCGAACAGGATCTCTCAAGCCCTTCCTTTGAAGCACCTTCGTCTAAAGCACTTTCTGCTGCTGTTGCCCACACAGCACAGAGGCCAGATCAAGGGTCTATTGCTGAAGGAGGAGGGAGCAGTGGTGTTGGAGGGATTGCAGAGGGGGGAGGAGGAGGAGAGGGTGTGACGGGCGATGTGAAGGGTGGGAGAGGGACTGGGGATGGAGGAGGTGGAGAGGGTATGACTGGCGGTGTGAAGGGTGGGAGGAAGGTGAGGCGAGGACCGCTTGGCCATGTGCGAAGCTTCCTGGAAAAGGTGGAGGAGAGAATGCATCGCAGCCCCCGGCAGCAGCGACAAGAGCCAATCAGGCAGGTCCACGTGGAGGCAGCAGAAGGGGAGAGGCCGCAGCAGGCACAGCAGGAAGTGATGCAGCAGCAACAGCAGCAGAAGGGGAAAGCAACTGCACCAGAAGCAGCAAGGCCTGTGGAGGCGTCGGGTGTGGGTGGGGTGGGCGTGGGAGGGAGTGAAAAGAGGTCTGGAGGGCCGGGACGGCGAGCAGAAGGCCGTAGCTTGTCTGTTGGAATGGTGGAAGAGGAGGCGAGGGGAGAAGAGGTTAAAGAGGGGGGCAGAGAGGAGAGAGGAGAGGAGGGCAAGGAGGGGACAGAGTCGGGAGGCATTAGTAGTGTGCAGGGTATGAGGGAGGAGGAGGGTATGGCACACGGGACAAGAAGCCCAAGAGGCGGATTCGTGAGGAGGATGAGGGAGAGGGTGAAAGGGGCACTGCACCCACACCGCCGCCCTGGCAGGAGCCGCAAGGTATATGGAGGGGATCACATGTGTTAAGAAAAAAATGTAGTGGCAGTTTGTTTATGCCTGCAACAGCTAGAACTTACTGTAGGTAATCCCCTGTATGCTCTCCGTTCTCTCCCTTTCGATCTCAACCCTGCTTCTGTATACTCCCCCATCTTCCCCTGTCCTTTCCCTCTCTCGTCTGTGCTCCTCCTCTCTGTGCTTCCCCTCTTCCCTCTTCGCTCGCCTCAGCGGAATCTCAGTGGCACGCACACATGATCCAGCAGCGTCGACAGCCCCATGCTCATCCCTTGCCCCCGCTTCAATCTCACCTTCCTGTGTGTTTGTGCCCTCTCTCGCCTCCCTGTTTCTCTTCTCTTTCAGCTGGACCTCAGCGGTTTGAACACACCATCTAGCAGCGGACGCAGTCCCATGCCCCTGTGATCTCACCTTTCTTTATGATTGTGCCGACTTTCTCCTCTCCTTTCTCTTATCTCTTCTCGCTTCTCCCCTTCTCTCTTTCAGCTGGACCTCAGTGGCATGCACACACCCTCCAGCAGCGGCAGTAGCCCCATGCTCACCCCTCACTCTCCATTCAAGCTCACCATCATGCGTGTGTGTGTTTCCCCCGTCCTTCCGTCTCCCTTTCCTCTTACTCAGCTGGACCTCAGCGGATTGAGCACACCATCCAGCAGCGGCGGTAGCCCCATGCTCACTCCTCGCTTCCCCCCTGAAGCTAACCGGTTTCAAAGGGACGGCGGGGAAGAGAGGGGGGTGGAAGGAGGAACGGGGGGAGGGGGAGAGAAGGTGTTGGCAGGAGGAATAGGGGGAGGTGGAGAGGGGCCGCTGGCAGGAGGAATGGGGGGAGAGGGAGAGAGGGGAGGCAGCGAGAGGGGGGCTATGGGAGTGAGGCCGGAAGAGGGCAAGGAGACATTGGGAGCGAGGGAGGGAGAGGGCAAGACTGGGCCCCTGGGGGAGAGAGAGCCCTCGCCAGCAGCACAGGTCGTCCACGTGGCACGAACCAGCCCATCCCTATCCCCCCCCTCCTTTCGCCCACTCGCTCCTGGCGAGGCAGTAGCGATGGAAGCAGCAGCAGCTGATGCCACGAGAACTGCGGCGGAGGAGGAGAGAGAAGCAGCGACCGAGGCAGAAGCTACTGCTGCAGCAGGTGCCGCGGCCAAGCCACCTGTTCCCAGGATGAGAAGCTTGGGGGCGGTGAGAAGGGCAAAAGGGGGAGGGGAGGGAGCAAGCAAAAGGTATGAAGGAGTGGACGAACCAGCATCAGGAACACGAATGAGCTTTGGTGAAGGTTTTAGAGGAGCAGCAGCAACAGCAGCAGCGGTAACACCACCTGCATGGCTCACCAGAGCACGTAGTGCCCCCAACATCCCTACCGCAAACAAAACAGCAGCGAAAAGCGCTCTTGAAGCCCTGGAGAAGCGTGTCCCGACTACGCCACCACTCCCAGCCACGCCCCCTCCGTCTCCTGCTGACGTGGAGAGCCTGGGTGCATCCGCACCGTTGAGTGTGGGAGCGATGCAAGTGGGAACAAGTGGTGACGTGGCAAAAGAAGGAGGTGATGTAGCACGGCTGAGGGCAGTAGCAGAAGAGCTTATACTGAAGGGGGTGAGTGAGGCAGAGGCGGAGGAGGCTGCAGAGGCGCTGGTGGAGGTGGAGGATAGGGAGGGAGAAGCAGAAGAACTATCAGGAAAGATGAAAGCAATGGGATTGACAGAAATGACAGGAAAGACGAGGAGAAAGACCTTGGAAGGTGCGCCAGGTGCGGAGGGACCACAGACAGGGGAGACTACAGAAGGAGTGGGAGGTGTGGTAGGTGGGAGGGCGAGGGAGGGGAGTGAGAGTGAAGGGTCAGACGAGGTGTTCTATGATACCCAGGTGTCATTCTCTGGGCCGTTGGATGCTGCAGAGCAGGAGAATCTGAGGGTGGCCGTGCAGGAAGCCATCTCAGAGGCTGTGGCAGAGGGATCGAAGGGGGCGGAATGGCCTGTGGTAAGTGGGAAGGGGCCTGTGGTAACCGGAGAGGGGCCTGTGGTAACCAGGGAGGGGCCTCCCGTAGCCAGGGAGGAGCCTGTAGTGACCGAGGAGGGCTCTGTGGTAACTGGAGAGGGGCCTATGGTAACCAGAAAGGGGCTCGTGGTAACCAAAGGAGGGCCTGAAGTAACTGGGGAGGGGCCTGTGTTGACTGGAGAGGGGCCTGTGGTAACCAGGGAGGGACCTGAGGTGGCACCTGAAGAATCACTTGAAGCATTACCTGGGGCTGGAACACCCCCTGGTCTGTGGCAGCTTCCGCACGAGGAGACTTCAGAATCAGAAACTTCATTAGAATCACTGCCATCATCCCAGCCTCCTGATGCTGCTGCGCTCCCACTCTCTCCCATTGTGGCTTCTCCTGTTGAATCACGTCCTTCACAATCACCAGAGGCAGCAGCTGCTGCACCCTTTTCCCTCCCACCCACTTCAACTGAGCTGCCTGTTGCTGCTGCTCCTGCTGTTCCTGCTGCAACTGCTCCTGGTGCGGCCTCAGCAGCACGCCCCCTACAGTCAACAGAGAAAGAACAGGAGGCTGCACCCTCTGCTTCCCAACTCAGTTCAACTGAGCTGCTTGCTGCTACTGTACCAGCCGCAGCTACTCCTGCTGCTGCTCCAGGTGCCGCTGGTGTTCTCTCAGCTGCAGCAGGCGCAACAGGGGAACCTGCAACCGATGTGCTCTCTGCTGCTGCTGCTGAGTCAGCAGAGCCGTCGTTTGCTGTTGCAACTGCTGAGTCATCAGGTCCGGATGTTGTTGCTGCAGAGTCAGCAGGCCCTGGTGCTGTTACTGCTGAGTCAGGAGGGGTTACTGCCATTGACAGTGAACGGGAAACAGAGAGACAGAGGCTTGCAGTGGCTCTAGCAGTGGTGGCTGTAGCAGGAGCACAGGCTATAGCAGGAGCACAAGCAGGAGAAGGTGGAGCCAAGGGTGTTGGGAAAGGAATGGAAGGAAGGGTGGCAAACTTACCTGCCTCTGATATGCCACTTGTAGCAACTGGTGCTGCTACTGGTGCGGAAGGTGCTGCTGATGATGCGCATGCTACTGGTGTTGCTGTTGCTGCTAGTACTGTCACTGGTGACAGTGGCGGTGGTACTGGTGGTGCAGAGGAGCGTGTTTCCATGGTTCATGCTGTGATGGCAGTAGCAAGCGCACGTGCTGCTGCAAGCATGGCAAAGGACGCTGAAGGAACCAGTAGCCCTGGCGTTATGGGTGGCATGGGTGCTCTAAGTGGCTTGGCTGGCATGGCCGGCGTGGGCGGTATGAGTGGCGCAATGGGTGGTACACATGGTGTGAGGAGGGAGGAGAGCGCAGCCAGTGAATGGAGCAGCCAGTCACAGGAGGGGTCGCCGCCTGGTGCAAGGAGAAAGCAACTGAGCGAGGTGCAGGAGATGATTGAAGAAGGGGATGACGGGGTAGCAGGGGAGGAGGTGCCTGGTGGTGGTGGTAGAGGTGCTGTTGCAGAGGAGGGAGGGTTACCGGCGATTGCTCCTACCTCTGCTGCTACTGCTGCAGTGGAGGAGGGAGAGCTGCCTGCTGGTACTACTGCTGCTGCTGAGGAGGGAAAGGTGCTGGGAGATGGTGGTGCTGCTGCTGCTGCTGCTGAGCCTAATGCTGCTACTGCTGCGGAGGAGGAGGGAGAGGTGCCTGGTGTTAGTGGTGCTATTGCTACTGTTGCTGCTGAGGAGAGGAAGGTGCCTGTTGCTTCTGCTGCAGACGAGGGAGAGATGGCTGATGTTGCAGAGGCAGCGAAAGAGGTACCAACAAATGAGGCGCCAACACTTGGCTCCGTGGCTACAGCTATGCTACCCGCGAAGGTGGTGCGTTTGGTGGGGTTAGAAGGTGGGGTCGAGGCAAGCAAGGGGCGAGAGGGGGAGAAGGAGATGGCAGAGGCAGAGGAGGAGCAGCGGGAGGAGCAGTCGGGGTGGAAGGGGCTGACGGAGGGGAAGCAGGAGCAGCAGGATCAGCAGGGATGGCAGGAGGAGGAGGCGCAGAAACAGATCGAGCAGCAGATTGGCCCCAGTGACACTGCTGAAGAGGGAGTGGAAGGAGGAGAGCAAGAGCAGCAGCCTTCTGCCACGGCTGCGCTTGCAGCTGCCAAGCCCCCTCTCTGGCTCTCTCCTACCAGGGGCATAGAGAGTGGAGCGGGAGCAGCGACCAAGGAGGAACGTGAGGTGCAGCAGCTGCAGCAGCAGAAGTTGCAGGAGATGCAGGAGATGCAGGAGACGCAGGAGGAAGAAAAACAGTTTATGGAAGCTCAAAATGTAGAAAGTTTCCAAAGTCATGGAGAAGAAGGGGATGAAGAAGCTGAAATGATATCTGCTGGGGAGGGTGAAGGTGCCACGAAGGGCCTGCCTGCAGGGAAGCGTGGAGGTGCGACCAAGGATCTGCACACAAATTTTTTTGAGAGAATGATGCCCGGAGTGGACTGGAGCGGCGTGGCTGCTGAGGAATCGAGCGGCACTCCCAAGGAGATAATGCTCGGTGGAAAGGCAGCAGAGCCGTCTGAAGTGGCATCCGGCTGGATTCATGGGGAGGGAGAGTCCGACATGCCACTAGGTACCTTTGCTACCCCAGAAGTGGGTATGTCTGAGGTGCCAGGAGAAAGTGTGTCAGGGAATTCAGCAAAGCTTGGAGGAGAAACAGGGTGGGCTGGGCTGGCCCGATGCAGTAGGTCTGAGGAGAGGGGAGGGGATGTGGCTCAGGAAGGGGGTGTGGTTCAACCAGTGGGAGAAGAGGGGGCTATGAACGAATCAGGGGGTGGATTGGATGTGAATGCATCAGGGGAGCCGGGAGAAAATGTGACGGGATGGGGGGATGAGGAGGTGGATGAGCCAATGAGCGTGGAGGAGAGTGCACGGCTGGTGGAAGAAGCACGAGGGGAACTGAGAGGGGCACGGGAGGACATGGCTAAAGCGTTGGAGAGGCACATGCATATGTTGGCTGCATGAAGCTTCGACAGCACGAAGATTCGGGTGGACTAAGGTTCGGCTGGTCTAAGGCTCAACTGAACTAAGGCTCGGCTGGACGAAGGCTCGGCTAGAGGAAGAGACTCGGCTGGACCAAGGCTGTGAGGGATGGAGGAGACGAGCCTATGGGGTAGCAGGGTGGGTGCAGTTGCTGATGGCAAGTGGGATATGTGCAAGGAATAGCAAAGGATGTGGGAGGGGGTGGGGGGGTGGGTGAAGTAAGGAAGGTGTAGATGATTTTGCATGCTTGTCTGCAGTACCTGTAAATATGTGCCAATGCATGCCATTTCCTTTGTGAAGCACTGGTGCTGGGACACGATTGAGCAGTGAAAAAATAGATTAGTAGGGGAAAATGGAACACATGACAACTATGCCACTTGAGGCAGCAACATAAAACGTGAAGTTACACCATTGGAAACAATAAGCGGCCCAGCAGTACAGCTGAGAATGGGACTCTGAAATTGTCATCTAGCTTCTCGCTTATGGGACACGATTCCATGAACGTTGCTCCTGCAGCTATCAGGAATATTCGGAAGCAAATGTCTGCAGACCACCATTGGGTGTGGAAAAACCCAAACGAGCAAAATATATAAAGGAACCTGCAGAGGTAACAAAAGCGAGTGATACTAAGGCATGACGATGGTGCTTTTAACCGAAATGCAGAGCAGCTTGAAAGCAGAAGCAACAGAGGCACATGTTCAAACAATAACTGCTTACGCTATTGAGAACAGAGAGCCGCAGAGGAGCATGGCGACGCTCCCAGCCCAGCTCTTGCGACTGTTCCAGGGAAGCTTCGCGGAACCCACTCGTCTACCAACAATGTCAGCCATTCCTGCAGAGGAGAAATACATCAATGAAAATTCATAATCAAAGGTAGTCCGTGTGAAAGGCTTCGTTTGAAAAACATATCCAAGAAGAACGAGACCAGACGTAGAACCAGCGCCCTGAGAACCACACAAGAGCACGCATGAGGAGAAGGTGTACGTACCGTCCCCAGCACACATGAGAACCAGCGCTATTCCTCCAACGGGGGAGCTGCGCCAAAAGATTGTTGTGACTAAAATGATGGTGAGCACGTAGTACAGAGGTCCCCGAAGCAGCTCGCTGGAGGAGAACAGGAAGTACAGGCAAGACACAACAATGAAGGCACCAGAGGAAAGGGAACGGAGCTGACAAACCTTGAAACCCTCCATACAATACTTCCAAAACCAAGAGGGCTGCGTGAATGAAACATGAGCGACCTTTTTGGCACAGCCAACGTCATGACGCGTGATTCTAAACAAAGTCTCACCATCAACTCTCTCACCTGGCACTGCCTTCTCTGCTGATAGACTTCACCACTCCCTCGTTCTTCGTGATGCCCGTGCCCAGCAGCAGGATCCGGACAACGTTCGCCACTGGCACAGCAACGGCGAGGAACCTCGCTGCTGGGTTGGGGCTGAACACAGTCAGACATGCAGCACAGGACAAGGTTGACAGGAGGGACTTGTAAGCACCAGCGTGATCTGTATATGAGCCGCAAGGTGTCTCAGGAGTCAATCAGGAAAAAACTTGGAAGTTAAAGTCACATTCAATAACTCACATTCAGATTAAGTTTCTTTGAAAGGCCTCACCTGAAGAGAGGCCAGGAGAGCATGAAGAGCAGCCCTGTGGTGATGTGCACAATCTTGCGACTCAGTTTCTGTGGAAGAAACAGCAACAAGAACAAACGTCCATGAACAGTGGAAGAACCATCATGGAAGGAGGAACAGGAAGTATTTCGAAGTAGCAGAACTTGGTCATGAGAAGTTTCTTCACAAGGAGGAACAACAGCGCAGCGAAATATTAAAGCAACTTTTCCTTACCTGATCCAGGACATCCCGTCTGGCCAGTTCATCAAACACGCGGACCCAAACCACCGAGCCTAAGAGGGTGAAAAGCGTCGCAGCTATGTCTTGCTGCCATGACCCTGCTAACGGTAGCAAGCCAGAGGCTAGAGCGACAATTCCAGCGTTCCCGGATGAAAAGCTAGTTCCAACATCGGTCAGTACAGGGTGAAAAGTCGACGGTTGCAGGTGGAAGAACGACGTTGGTGCCTGAAGCGACTCAATTGCGGATCTGCCAAGCCCTGTAACGAGTTTTGGAGCAGCAGTTATCGCGGATTCGGCTGCTGCTGTTGCTGCTGGGACTTCGAAGGAGGCTGTAACATAGCTTCGTTTCAAAGTCAGATGTTTCAGTTGTGTTCTGTAAGCGTATGGATGACAGCGTGACCGAGGCCATGCTAGACTGTTTGAGGAATAGCCTGCTGACGAGACCCTGGGTTGGAAGCTAATAATGTCTGTCAATTGACAGTGCGGAACAGAAATCGTCATGATATGATCCGTAATAGTCTCTAATGGAAACAGACTACCAATTTTGTAGGGGTAATTACCTTCCGGGTAACCAACATCGAGCCCGCTGACGTACGCAGTCCGCCACGTGGCTCGATGGTACCCATCAGATTGACCGATCTCCCCTGTGGTACCCGTCATTTCCCCGGTGGTACACATTATCCCTCCGTGGTACCTATCAACTCTCCACAGATTTCCCAACTGGTAACCAAACATTTCAACCGCAATGTACACCGTACGCATGACGTTCGAGTCAGCAAAAACATCACCATTTAGGCCAGAGTGAGTTTCCTTCTTACTAACCTTGCCTGAATGTTTAATTACTCCCTTATAATCCGAACATTAATTGCACATAAAGGACCCATAAAAGTATGTTAACGTCATTTTCGGCTATCAAAAGTTACTACACTTGGAAGAAGGTACAGAGAAATCAGTTAAAATTATGATAATGCGGTATGTTTTATGCACGGATCGCTTTAGCATTGCCCTTCATCACTCCCTGATCTCGTTCTAAAATTGCTCATATTATTACCGGGACACTTTGGCCAAGTCAATTACATAGGTGTTGAGGCCATATTATGGAAGTGCAGCGTCTTCTGTAAACTAGCACTATTTTGTACATCATTTGTTTTAAACTTAACGGCATGGTTCTGGTATTCTCATTTTTATAGACAATGCAATAGTATGAGTCGGTGCGACAAAGAGACACAGCATGCACATTCTTTTTTCTTGTACTGTAAAATGTTTTAAACTGCACCACACTTAAACCTGGCGCGACAATATCTTCACTAAAACTACAATACATCATCTCATCACCCCAGCATGAGCGAAAAATGAGCATGTAGTACCCAGATGGAGTGACATGAAGCGTAAATCCCCATCGCATATATCGTACTCTCGTTCCATGTACCTGCCTACAAACGAACGGACAGGCAAACAACTACGAGCAGGTTTTGGCGTCCACACATTTCACTGTCTCTTTAGCTACTAGCATCACCATTACATTCACTACCCGTGTTCATTCACTAAGTAAATTCACTAATAAGAACACAGTCCACTCAAACATGCCGAGTTCAACAGTGGTGCTGCTCATGTTGTTCGCCCTGCTCTGCCGAGTTTGTGGTTGCAATACGTCCACCAGCAGCACCTGTCGCATAGGTTTCACCATCCCCTTGCTGCTGTGTAGGGTAGATTGAGTTTCCGTACGAAGGCCATTGATGGATCATGTTTGAGTGCATAGGCACCATCCAAGGGTATTGCCAATACAACCCTTGTTGCTGTGCTGCAACCCCTCTATCCATTACATTTGTTGAATAATATGTGGCGCTCCTCGGGTGTGACATAGGAACGCGGATTTCCTGCCACTGTTGTCCCTCTTGCTGCTGCCCTGACTGCTGCAGCCAAATGTGCTGCTGCCCTGCGTTCTGCTGCCCTGTGTGCTGCTGCCCTGCGTTCTGCTGCCCTGTGTGCTGCTGCCCTGCGTTATGCTGCCCTGTGTGCTGCTGCCTTGCGTTCTGCTGCCCTGTGTGCTGCTGCCCTGCGTTCTGCTGCCCTGTGTGCTGCTGCCCTGCGTTCTGCTGCCCTGTGTGCTGCTGCCCTGCGTTCTGCTGCCCTGTGTGCTGCTGCCCTGCGTTATGCTGCCCTGTGTGCTGCTGCCTTGCGTTCTGCTGCCCTGTGTGCTGCTGCCCTGCGTTCTGCTGCCCTGTGTGCTGCTGCCCTGCGTTCTGCTGCCCTGTGTGCTGCTGCCCTGCGTTCTGCTGCCCTGTGTGCTGCTGCCCTGCGTTCTGCTGCCCTGAGTGCTGCTGCCCCACCTGCTGCTGCCCCAGCTGCTCTCTTGTCTGTTGCTGCCCTCTCGGTCGCTGTCCTCTTTGTTGCCGCGGTCTCTGTTGCACTCCTCCCAGTTGCTGGCCTTCCTGATGCAGCCCTTCCTGCTGCCCTACCTGTCGAGTTCCTCGCCGCCGATTTCTATGTGATGGCCCTACATTCGTGTCTTGAGGTGAAGCTTCCCTTTCAGCTTCTTCCAAATCTGGTATTTGGCGTTGTAGACTAATGCGGGACACTTTCCTCAAACGGATCCGGACAATCTCTGCCGTATCTCTTGGGCCGACTGTGTTTGGCTGGTGCTGCTGCCGCTGTCCCAGCTGCTGCTCCGAGTGCTGCTGACGCTGTTGGGGCTGCTGCCGTCGCCCTTGTTGCCGCTGCCGCTGCTGCCTATCTCCCAGCGTCTGCTGCTCCCGTCCTTGCTGCTGCCCCTGCTGTTGCTGGTGCTGCTGTTCCTCCTGCCGCCCCTGCTGCCCCTGCTGCCCCTGCTGTTGCTGTTGCTGCTGTCCCTGCTGCTGCCGTCCCTGCTGCTGCCGTCCCCGCTGCTGCCGTCCCTGCTGCTGCTGCCCCAGCTGCTGCTGCCCCAGCTGCTGCTGCCCCTGCTGCTGCTGTCCCTGCTGCTGCTGTCCCTGCTGCTGCTGTCCCTGCTGCTGCTGCCCCTGCTGTCCCTGCTGCTGCTGCCCCTGCTGCTCCTGCCCCTGCTGCTGCTGCCCCTGCTGTCCCTGCTGCTGCTGCCCCTGCTGCTCCTGCCCCTGCTGCTGCTGCTGCTGCTGTCCCTGCTGTTGCTGCCCCTGCTGCTGCTGTCCCTGCTGCTGCTGTCCCTGCTGCTGCTGCTGCTGCTGCCCCTGCTGCTGCTGCCCCTGCTGCTGCTGCCCCTGCTGCTGCTGTCCCTGCTGCTGCTGCCCCTGCTGTCCCTGCTGCTGCTGCCCCTGCTGCTCCTGCCCCTGCTGCTGCTGTTGCTGCTGCCCCCCTCCCCGTTGCCGCTGCTGCCTCCCTCCATGTTGCTGCCGCCTCCCCCTCTGCGGCCGGTTTGACCGCCTCCCCCCTTGCCCTTGATGTTGTTCTCCCCCCCCTTCTGGTTCGGTTGCTTCCTCCCTCCCCATGGCTACATCTGCCTCCTCCCCATCCGACCCTTGCTGTTCATGGTTCTGCCGCCCTTGCCCCACTTCCACTTGCTCACCGTCAATTTCCTCGGACGCATCTGTCGAGTAGGAATAATATGTTTCTTCATCGGTTAAATCTCCTACTTCTGTCCCCGCGCCCCCCTCACCACCACCTGGGCCTTTCCTAGCACGAGCTTCCATCCTCCGTACAGCTTCACACCGAATACCTTCACGGTGGAGTGCCCCACAAGCGTCGCACTCTGCAACGCTCACTTCAGCCATAGCAATTGTAGATGTTTGCATCTCAACATGAGCTTGCGGTGTCTGTCTCTCTTCCCATGCCACTCTTTGACTAGCCCGCAGCTCACATGTACGTACGTTATGTCCTTTCTCCCCGCACTTGCCACACTTGCGCATTTTTTCACCATCCACCTCACCAGAGCTTCTAAGGCGTTTCGAAGGTGGACGTCCGGCCCTCTTAGGATACACAGGAGGTTGGATCGTCCTATCGCGAACCACCTCCGTAGGGTCGAGTGGCACGATAGGCGTACTGTACACCTTTTTAAGAGATTCCACTCTGTAGTAGCGTTTTATCACCCTATGAGCTTTCTCTGGCGTGCCACTGTAAACTGCAAAAATGTGGACACACGGAAGTCCATATTCCCTACACACAGGTGGGATGTAAAGGGGCACAAGAGGAAGCCTTGGGGTGAAATGGTCATTTCATACATTGTATTCAACAGTATGCAACAAGGAGAGAAGCAACAGAAGCAGCAGGGGGAGTGGGGGCCCATGGACAGCATTAGCCCAGCCCAGGAACATCAGTAGCAGCACAGACAGCAAGGACAACCACAGCTGGAGCAGCAGTAGGGGGGGGGGGGGGGGGGGGGGGGGAGACTTCGGGTGCATCAGCAGCAGAGGGAGTGGGGGAAGTAGGGAGTAGCAGAAGGTGCAGCTGAAGCAAGGTAAAGGAAAGAGCAGCAGCCGTAGACGCAGAGGGAAATGATTGAGCCACAAAAGGCGCTGGGAGGTAAGCAGGAGGTGGGGGTGGTAGCATGGTCAGCAGAAGGGACAGCAGCAATAAATTGAGCAAGCACACAATCCACACCTTGTGTACCCGCAGGAGCATGAGCTTGACTCCGGGTTGTTGACATCCGTGGTGACCCGGCGTGTCTCCCTTCCAGTCCTTCGAGTCACCTTATAAGTTTGCTCCACCCTTGACCCTCCGGGCTGCGTGATAGCAATCTCTCCGGTTTGCTCTGCCGTGTAGGACATACCACACCTAGCATTCTCACGAATGATACGGACAATGTTGGCGGGCAACTGCTCATCCGCCATCTCCTCGTACTCTTTATTCCGCTTGAATGTAGAAACTGCTTCTCTACCTATCACAGCCAGCAGCACCTGCGCGGGACTCTTCCTCCTCAACCCTTTTAGGGTAGCATTCATAGACTCGACTGGGTTTGACGAGTAACAGCCAAAACGTGCAGCCCCAAATCTAGTGGTGGCCCATTTTGCAGACAGCCCTTCCTTTGTCAAGTATTCAACCCCCCCTGGACACTCCTTTTCTATCTTCTCCAAAAACTGCGCAAACACTTCAGCAGTCAAGGCACTTGCGGCAGACTCAATCTTCCCATCCAGGGTCGACCCGAACTTCGAATTGAAGTTACGAACCAAGTGAGTAACACAGAAGGCTTCCCTTGTGTTCGGGAAAACCTCGCGTGCGGCAGCTGCCCATCCCTTTCCCCGATCATGCATGACAATAAAATCTGGAGTGTTTAACTCAGGCACGGCTTCCAATAACAGTTTAAAAATGAAGCTGCAAGCTGCTGTCGTCTCTCCCTCAACCCATGCCATCCCCAAGTTCACAATCTTGTGCTCACAATCAAGCGCACACAAATTCAGAGTCTGGCCACGCCACCTCGTCTTGTTGTGACAACCATCAGCAAACACAATTGGCAGACAATTCAACACTGCTGAGCGAGCACCAGGGAAAACCAAGCCAGCACGGAAAAATTTATCTCCGTCCTTCTCCATTGACACACGCGCTGAGGGGTTCAACTCTTTGAACATGGACAACAGACTCTCAAAATATTCAAACCCCGCATCCCCACCCAGAACATCTTCCTCCGCCAACTGGGCCAAAGCACGATGTGCGGTGTTGTAAGAACATGACACGCCCAAAACCTCCTTCACCTTATCCTTCAAGTCAAGAGGCTTCATAGTGCCATGCGTGACAAATACACGAGCAATGTCTTTGACCTCTTCTATGGTGATCCTTGCAGGACACACGGCACAAAGATCCGCATGCTCAAGATGAACCTCCCTAATCTCCATCATCCCCTTCCTAGGCCCCCGCGCATAAATACGAAAAGGACAAAACCCCTCAGGAGCTGCCACACCTTGAGCAGGCCATGAAACTCCCTTCATAGCCCAACAACGCACATCCACACAAGTAGCTCTATTATAACGAAAAAAAGGTTCGAACCTTTGCTGTCGGGCATACTTTCGAATATCCTTACGCGCCTCCACGACGTTGCGAAAAACACGTCCCTTTGAAAGGTTGACCTCACCCTCATTCTGCAATAACACACTGTCAGGATAGTACATGGAAACAAAGAGAATATATGGTTGAGATCTAAGTACATGATTGCACCAAGTAAAGGGAACAAATAGAAGAAGCAGTTGATGCATTGGCTGCATGGCGCAGCCCGTGTGAAGCGCCATGCCAATGCATGGCACAATCGTGGCTGCACCATGCATGGGCTGCATGGCGCAGCCCTTATCGAGCGCCCTGCGGCCATGCAGCCAATGCATGGCGCAATCGAGGCTGCGCCATGCATTGGCTGCATGGCGCATTCGACGCTGCGCCATGCAATGGCTGCATGGCGCAGCCATTATTCTGCGCCATGCCAATGCATGGCGCAATCGAGGCTGCGCCATGCATTGGCTGCATGGCGCATTCGACGCTGCGCCATGCAATGGCTGCATGGCGCAGCCATTATTCTGCGCCATGCCAATGCATGGCGCAATCGAGGCTGCGCCATGCATTGGCTGCATGGCGCATTCGACGCTGCGCCATGCAATGGCTGCATGGCGCAGCCATTATTCTGCGCCATGCCAATGCATGGCGCAATCGAGGCTGCGCCATGCATTGGCTGCATGGCGCAATCGACGCTGCGCCATGCAATGGCTGCATGGCGCAGCCATTATTCTGCGCCATGCCAATGCATGGCGCAATCGAGGCTGCGCCATGCATTGGCTGCATGGCGCAGCCATTATTCTGCGCCATGCCAATGCATGGCGCAATCGAGGCTGCGCCATGCATTGGCTGCATGGCGCAGCCATTATTCTGCGCCATGCCAATGCATGGCGCAATCGAGGCTGCGCCATGCATTGGCTGCATGGCGCATTCGACGCTGCGCCATGCAATGGCTGCATGGCGCAGCCATTGTTCTGCGCCATGCAATGGCTGCATGGCGCAGCCCGTGTGAAGCGCCATGCCAATGCATGGCGCAATCGCGGCTGCCTTATGCAATCCAATGCATGGCGCAGAAAATTATGTAGCGCCACGCCAATGCATGGCGCAGACACTATTCTGCTCCGTGTCAATGCATGGCGCATTCATGGCTGCGCCATGCAGGCCTTTTGAAGCGTCACACTGGTTTACACGTGAAATCAGGCATATAACAGTGACTACGTTTACTTATGATTGGTCGAGGACATACCTGTAAGGATTGCTGCTAAACATGGTCGCGAGATTTCCGCTAACCATGCGAGTAAGGTGAGCTTACGAGGTTTGGGAGGTAACGCGAGGAAATGAGAAGGGGGGTTGAGAGATTTCTAGGGTTGCACTTCGTCAGGTAGAAGACACGTTCAAATCTGCTGATACGCGGTACGTACGGTGTACATTGCGGTTGAAATGTTTGGTTACCAGTTGGGAAATCTGTGGAGAGTTGATAGGTACCACGGAGGGATAATGTGTACCACCGGGGAAATGACGGGTACCACAGGGGAGATCGGATAATCTGATGGGTACCATCGAGCCACGTGGCGGACTGCGTACGTCAGCGGGCTCGATGTTGGTTACCCGGAAGGTAATTACCCATTTTGTAGCTCAGACGAGGAATCTGTTTTTGTTAATGGGTGTGCTTTCGGGCGAAGGCCAATCTGGCGGAAAACTACAGAGCTGAATCATTTCGAACAGACGCCTGAAGAAAGCAGTGCGGGATTTTCGTGGCAGACCAATTCGGGAGAGCCCACGACATGACTCCTAGGTACTGTAACCGAGATTCTCGGTGGATGGAAGCAGGATTCTGCTTCACCCATCAATGGATCAGAGAGGTGATCAGAGTGTCGCACAAGACTCATCGCTCTGACGTGGATGTACTCGGTCTCGCGTTCTGATTCGTCAACGAGGGGCTGAAAATCTCGCAAGTGGATAAAAGTCGCGAAAAGGCTGCCACTCGGATCGCGGAGGGGTGCGACGCGGTTGTGATCGGAGCGGCAATCCCAGGATGCCTTGCTCTCGGCCCATGGGCCATCGCGTGCCTGTCACCTGCCAGATACTCTAGCGCAACCAGTGGAAGCCCCGAAGCCAAAACCAAGGCTTCCTTGTTGATGGGAGTCGGGACCAGGGCACAAAATTGGTTTTGGGTCAACCTGTCATATCAGGGTATCTGGCCTACTGTACCCTGACCCTTAAGGTAAAAATATTTATACACTGCTGGCAATAACCGCCGAATATATCTCAGCGGACAAGCGAGTCCGCCCAGGGGAGCTCTCTGCCCGGGGGCAAAAAAAATAAAACCCATTCGGGCATGCATCCGGTCAGGGAGGCATCAACCCTAAACACAGGGAGGCATGGATTTAGGGTTGATGCCTCCCTCGGATGGCATGCCATCCGATGGGGTTTTAGTTTTTTTCTGCCCGGGGCAGCATGTCGTCAAGTCGTCAACAGGTCGTCAGGCTTGACGACCCGTTTCCGCTGGGATATTCCTAAAAATTCCAGTACACTGATTCAGTCAGTGTAACTTTCCTGATACACTGGTTTATATGCATTTTTTCTTGCAGTAGCAGCCCTCGGCTCGGCATGAGCAGCAGGACAGCCCGAAGCTGTGGTGGCGCGCTACTTGACAGATATGGCAGTGGGACTGGTATGATTATGTTGGGCTGAAAAAGCCCTTAGGATCGTTTTCAAGACTAAACTCTCAGGGTGGTGATGTATTTAGCGGAAGCGTAATAGTGGATTAATTGAACCACCTTGCACTAATATGTGAGAACAATATGAGTTGATTATAGCAAAGAGATGCAGGTTTTTATATGACTACAAGGAATACGAAAGGTTTAACTGTAACTGCTGTTGCGGTTCGATACAGCGGCGACTCGGATAACTGCTCAATAGCGAGTCAGTTGTGTGTCCTTGCTGTCGCGCTGCTTTTCGGCGAGTCAAAGGTCGCTGACCATTGACCTTCGCTTAACCTCTTGCTGCCGTCTTCTTGTCAACCACTTTGGTTGACTCGATGTTGTTTTGCTGTGAATATGCTTCGCTTTTGTTGTAGTGCTCGATACTTCAGAAGCGTAAACTAAATGTTTCCAACACTCCCCTTCGCTTCTGGAGTGTCATCGCCTTCGTTGCTGGTGATGTGGCCCTGTCCAGTCAGCAGCATGTAGTATTCGAACTTTTGCTTTTCGAGTTGCTTGGTCAGGTAATCTGCTGCCATATCGGACGTGGGGCAATAGGATGGCTCGAGTCTCCCTTTCTCGATCTCGTCCTTCACGAAGAAGTAGCGCAGGGCAATGTGTTTCGTTCGGTTCGCGAGCCCTCTCTTTTTCGCTGTGTGAATTGCAGATTGGTTGTCACAGAAGAGGGAGAAGCTGGGTAACTGGGCCAGCTTTGCTTCTTCCAGTAGTTCGCGAAGGTACAGTTATTCCTTGGTGGCTGAGCAAAGTGCTATGTATTTGGCTTCAGCAGAGGAGAGAGCAATTAGTTCTTGTTTGCTCGACTGCCACGAGATAGGACCGACGGGCTCAAGTCGGTAGATGTAGCCGGTGCGCGATCGCCTGTTGTCAGAGTCGCCTGCGTGGTCAGCGTCCACGAAGCCGATTAGCTTTGGAATAGTGGTTCTGGTCTTGTGGTAGGTTAGGCCGATTGTAGGTGTGCTGACGAGGTAGTGTAATGTGCGGTCGATTTCCGCCATGTGTTCTGCTTCGGGCCGTTTGAGATAGGTGGCAAGCTGGCTCGCTGAGTACGACAGGTCCGGTCGGCAGGTAACGGCTTCGAAGAGTAAGAATCCAAGTTTGAGATAGGTGGCAAGCTGGCTCGCTGAGTACGACAGGTCCGGTCGGCAGGTAACGGCTGCGAAGATTAAGCATCCAAGTTTTCGCTGATAGTCGCGTAGTCCGACAGGTCTGAGCGGATTAGACTTTTCCTGGTGATTTCCGGCGGT